TTTTATACAGAACTACGGATGACTAAATATGCCAGAAACTACGGACTTTTCGTATCCTGTCTCCCCATTGCAGGAAAAGCAGAGGTGATATTAACAACCTTCACAAACAGCTCTTTTTAAGTGTCTCATGCTTTTTTTCCCCTTCCTCTTGCTTCAGAGTGAGGGATTGAAATGACCCAGATGTATCTCCGCTGTAGCCGTGCTGAGTGTTGTTCCAGCTTACTAAAAGCTGAGGGAAGGAGCTCGGGTGCTCCCTTTTGTTGACTCCTTGAAACAGGAAACCGTGAACCATCCCTTTAGATACTTAGGCGAGAATTTTGCCATACAATTTTCACGCTTGATAATGTGGATATTTTCATCCATCCATAATAACTGTGATTAGTAGGCATGGATATGAAACAGAAGGGTGAGTGTATGGTGGGCACTCATCATGTGTATAAAACATTTCTAGTTATATTTTAATCATATATGATGCTTCCTCTGTGTGATAATGTGATGATTTTAGATTGATGGGGTATCTAGAGCCCCTTTAGTAGAATACTTTGAAACTGTTTTAGTTTAATTGATTCAGGACCAAATTACTGCAGGGTGTAAGTTTGGTCCGTTTCTTTTTTTCCATGTGAAAAGTCCCGATAGAGTTCCTCTACCAAACTTTCTTAACTTTATGATCTTTCCTAAAACACTGTAGGGGTATTTTCCTTACACCCCACACACATTGGTACAGTATATGTGAGGCAACAACCTGACTTCTCATTTTGAGAACTGTATCAAGTGGCCCTCCAGCTGTTTATTTCAACATACAAACCAGAACTTCCACCATTTGATTAGTTATTGACACTAATTTGATATTCATCCATGCATATTTTGTTTTGCAATTTCAAATCCTTTCGCATTTGGTTCTATCGATTAATTAATTTACCTATCTTAAAACCCTAATTGCATCTTGCATAATTAATTGACTTTTTTTTTTTAGCCTGTGAGCTCCGAATAAGAAACGCTCCTTCTTGTTTATTTGTGTTGACCCCTGGGGTTGTGCAGAAGTGGAGTGATAAACATGTTAATGATGCATGCCCTATATACATATACAATTTGCACGGTGCACATGTAGACTTCTCAAGAATTCACTTTCATGACTTATGCTGAATGCCCGCGTCAGTATGAGAACAACTGTGTGTGCAAAATCAAACCGTGTTTTACGCAGAGCAACCTGTGAGTCAGTGTGTTCCAGCAAATAGCATTGATCCGCTCCAAGCTCGATGGTGAGCATAAGGAGGTATACACAATATATTGACAGATTTTTTTCTTCCTTCAGCTCTGTTTGTTCTGCAGAACGAAAAAGTTACACTTATAATCTGCTCACGCTCATTGTAAAGCACATCACCTCTGCACCCAGGAGTGTGTTCTAGACTTAACAGGGATAAGCCTGCTTATCACGTCCTGCCACAATGAGATGCTTACATCTCCTCTGAGGACAGGTGCTTTGCTGTGAGCCAACCCAGAGAAGGAGAACTGGAAAAAATAAATTAATCAAACATTCATATGCAAGAAGACTTTGCATTTAGGTTGCCATCTGTATTCTTCTCCCTGGCTGGCTGGCCTTTCCGTGGTGAATATCAGCAGGATATGTTGACTCTTGATGACTGGCATCCAGTGTTGAATCAGAGCTGTGTGCTCAGGCATGGCAACTGGAGGTACCAGAAGAGTCCTGAAGGAACAGGCTGCAGTCTATTTTAGGTCTTTTTGTTTAACCCAATTACTGTGTCAGCGCGTGCTGACTGAACCAATGCCAGTCAGGTGATGTGTCTCCTTTGAAAAATGGGGCAACAACATTATAGACATGGAAATGTGATACAAGCAAAACAATGGGAGGCTGCTTTGTACTCTGAAGCAGGGAGGAAAATAAATGACATGCTGAGCAGGATTATCTCATGGAGTGAAGACACACACACACACAGACACACACACACTTACACAAAAATAAAACAGGTTGGGCTAACATACAACAACAGCTCCCATAAGAACATGCGTGACGCGTGACACCTTCCTGTGACCTTCAAGGTTTGCAGCCCCCATCTGTCAAACAATTTCAGAGGAAAAGAGCCAAGTTGCATCAATAACTGGATGGCTTTCCTCATCTCCAACTATTTTGAAATAAATGTTCAGTCAAAGATAAGCTTTTGGTACAGGCAGCAAGCCTGTTTGCAGCAACAATGAAAGCATGAAACGGGTAAATAAACAGAGACACACCATGGCAACCTGAGGCTGTGTTGTATGGAATCAGTCAGAGTTTCAATTTGGGGTTTTTCTTTGCAAGCAAATGAGGTGATCATTTGTGAGGGGCCACTGTTGAGAGGAGATATGAGAAACAAGCTGCTTGTGGGAGGCTTTGAGTAGCATCTCATCCATGAACTGCTCAGTCTAATCGTTCTGATGCACTCTTCCCTCAGCATCCGCCCTCCAGCCAGCCACCTGAGAACGCGCTTTTGGAGCCACTGAAGTAGGGCAGACGACAGTTTTGCCTGTGTTTCTCTTTAGTCAGTTCTTCTGTGCTGCACCTTCACACATTCTGATGAGTCCCCATATCTCTCTCAGACCCCAGATAGGAATCACAACATCACAGGAATGCGTCTCATCTTTCAGCTCCACTATCAGACTCCTATCATTTTTGCCTCCCTTGAGAGGCATAAGTTTGAGTAATTAATCTCATACCATCTTGATTTAATATCAAAGAGAGAGGAGGATCGTCCATGTAATTAAGTAATACATTAGCCCAAGTAAAACAGATGAAGTTAATGTGGTTGAATGTGTCTATTTGCACAATAATTTCATATATTTTTTCTTTCTTTCCCCATGCGCATGTCTAACTCACTTTTTCTCCGAATTTTTCAGAGCATGTCAGCACATTTGGAGCGTTTACAATCATTTTCACCCACTGACAGTATCTGATATGTGAGCTAATTACAACGGTGAAACGACAGCTACAGAATAGCTCCATCTCCCTTTAGTGATAGGGTGCGATTCCTGAAGGGATGCAGTGTTACTGAGATGCACGGGTGATTTTTAAAAAAATTTTCTCCATTTTTTATGCAGCCTTGTTGGAGTGGACAAATGCCACGGAAGCTCGTGTCACTGTGCCTGTGGGAAATCATTATTGTTCCAGGTATCTCAGGCTGTTGCAAGAAGACCGGAACACAGCAGATGTGGGGGACTTGTTAGGGACTTTATGTGCCAGTGTACCGTTCAACAGACAGCCTTCTTAATTAGATCTCCGTGGATAAATATAAGCATCTGCACTATGAACGGACAGAATGATGTCCTTTGGTGTGCTCATCGCCGCACACTTTTAAATCCACACAATCCACTTTATTTCAAGCTTGGGAAGCTCTGGGAAGCTGTTGGAGCTATCGCTCCATCTAGTGGTTGTTTTTTACTTGCATGAGCCAAAATACGAGGCTCTGCATGGCTGAAGGCTTCCGGATCCACTCTCATGCATATAGACCAAGTGTTGTTTTGGTGCTACATCTTATTTCAGGCCCAGAGATCCATCAGTCAATTCAGCGGTTGCTCAGGTCACTAATGTAAATATTCATTAATCCATGCATGTATTCCGCACATATGTCTGAGCTCGCAATTGATTCCACTGGGAGCAGTTTATGTGCTGTCATCATTCACACCGGCCACAGTATCAAAAAATCCATCTAACACCAAAACGCTCAGCAGACACTGCGCTGAAGTCACTGTGTGATCACCCATGGAGGAAGAACACGTAAATTATACACAGTAGGCCCATTTGCTATAATTAACTTTAATCACTTTAAGGTGTATTTTAAAGATGCATGAGTCAATACCATATATCCATGACAGCTTGAGCTATTAATGTAACATGGAGGGTGTCTTTCTTCAGGATGAACTCTCAGGGGACCATTTCCTCTCAGCTTTCCAGATTGTTCTGGCCGTTATATTGATTTTAAGGGTCGGCAGATTTGTTGTTTAGGGATCATTTTCATCGCTCTCATCACTTTACGACCAAAATAGGCGCCTCTAATAAACCAAATAGACTCAGACAAAGGACAAAGAATATAATATACTTTCTGAACAACATACTGGAGTTTTAAAATGCAGAATTGGGAAGATTCTGGGCACTGAATAAATCTTTCAAAGAAAAAGACCCCAGTTGCCGAAATTACTTTCTGTGACATGGTTGGAAAATCTCACGAGGTAGGAATATTTACTTATAGCCAGTAAAAATTCAAATTGCATAGGAGCCACATCTTATGTAATGAGAACACTGTCACATATAGAAGCTATGTCTTCTTTATCTTATTGAAATAATGAATATAGAGTGAAATTTGAAGAGTTTCTCTGATCATTCTAATCAAGAGCAGAGGGAGAAAAGGCTGCAGATAAATTCCTTGAAGACTCCAGCTAGGATTTATGTCCTCATATGTTTACACACGAATCCCAGTTAGCAGAAATTGATACATGGAATCAAACATTGCTTTGAAAGTTGTGGTTAAAAACAAATTATGAGACAGAACTACTTCATTTCTCTTTCATAAGGGCCGCTCCAGGGAAGCTTATCTCTTTAGCATAACAAAAAATTCAAATAGTTCTCATCATGGCTCATTCTTACATTCTTCCAAGTCATTTCTCTCTGTTGGGAAGCTTCTTAGGTGAAGATCCATTGGTCTCTCCAGGAAACTGGCAGAGACTAAAGCAAGAATTAAAGGAGCATGAATATTTCAACATGACTCCAACATGCACTGGCTGTATGTGGAAGTAAGTATTTCATTGCTGACTTTATGGGGTAATAATTCCAGTCTGTGTATTGCCTCAGCTTGAACTGATTCTGGCTTCATACCAGGAAGACACATCTACAAGCTTGGCACCGACACTGTAAATGTTACATGAGATAGATGATTGTTGTTTAAAGGGATTTCTTTACAACATAATTAGGAATGGAGGGAAATAAATCAATATGAAGGCTGTGTTTTTTTTTCTTTCATGACTTTTATTTACATTTCGAAGGCCTGAGACAAATGACAAAATAACGATAAACATTCAAACAAATAAAGTTGTACCAGTAGACATAAGATGTGGTCATAATGAACTTAAATAGTACATTTTTGAATCAAGTGAAAGTAAGGTTAAGTCAGTGTGTTATGAATCATCCATCCATCCAGACTTCCCTCTCCCCTGCTATTTCTGACCGCTCCTCCGGGGGGATCCCAAGGCGTTCCCAGGCCAGCCAGGAGACATAGTCCCTCCAGCATTTGTTAATAATCAAATAAATACAATTCATTAGGAAAATTCAGACTGGGAATGGTTTTATCTGCCCCCCTGAGGTAGGTGTTGTATTTACAATGGGCATCATTTCTGGGTTACAATCTGGTACAGAAAATTAAAACCCAAAGATCAGATCAGAGATTAGATCATTTTAGTAGCAAACAACATGTTTTAAGGCACCTGTTTAAAAAATATGCAATTATTTTCACATTTCTCTGTTGTATGGAATGTTTCTTGTTTTGGAGCTAATCCAGATAAAAATCAAAGCAACATTCTTTAGAAGTATCTTCTCTTTATACAATTCTTACAGCGGTGACTTTGATAAAGTGCTCTATAGTAAACTGTGTTCACCCAGTATTAGAAGAAAAATATAGTGAACATCTATTTGAGTAAATCTTGTCAGACATTCTCTTACCAAGTACCTTTTTCTTAAAGCATAAGATATTAGTGGAACATAAAACACATCCGACAGCCGTGTTTGACAAATGAAGACAGAACAGAAATGCAGGAGCAACCCTGCATCCGTCTTTGTTTTGTCACATTTGGGAATAAATCATGTTGGAAACAGGAAACAGCATCGACTGAAGGATGGCCTTTGTGCTCACATTCCTCTTTGATTCCAGTGGAGGAAGATTACGCTGACAATATGTCATACAAGTGATCGCGCAGTAAGTCACGGACCTACTTCAGAACAAGTTTTCTTCAGCAAGTCCACCTGAAACGAAGAAGAGAGTCACATTAGTGATATTCATTTGGTGCATGCAGTAGCTGTGAACTCTGCATATCACGGAAGCTTGAGTTGTTGGCAGAAAGTACCTTGCTGGAGGTTTCTCTGCAAAAAGTGGTTGAGTTGATGCAACCCAGTGTTGTGGTTATGGTGTCCCAACTGGGAGCTGAAAGGGTCCATGGCAGTGGTGCCTGTGGTGAACTGCTCTGCAGGTAAAGAATCCTCAGCAATGAGGCCCAGGGGCTCCTGGTCCGGCTGTCGGGGCCCGGTCCTGCTGCCCACTAGGCCCTGCTGAAAGCTGCAGGCGATGGCGCCGGCACTAGGAGTGCCACTTTTCTTCGTGACCACATTCAGCTCTTTGAGGATACTGTCAAACACACTGTCGTCATGGGCCGGCGTGTGCTTGGGGAGCAGGGCCGGGGCGGGGCGGGGCTGCCAGTCGCAGGCTGAGGACGAGGCATCGGCGGCTGCATGCTGGGACAGGTTTTGAAAAGGATTCAGGGTGTGGTGAAAGTCAAAACTGCTGGCCAGAGAGGAGATCTGCTGGGCTAGAATGCTGATCTCTGCCTGCTCCAGATCGTTATACTGGTTCGTCTCTAACGATGTGGAGGGCTGGAAGGCTGTCAGGAGACCGGAGTGTAACGGGAACTCCTGGTCAGGAACGTGACGCAGCTGGACGAGGCTGACCTCTTGTGGCTGCTCCACGAGGGCAAAATCGTCCGGGTGCAGCGACGCACAGTCCACCGGGCTGTCGCACGTGTCGGACGCCGACAGACAGTCTGGAACTAATCGGGCGTCGGAGGGACAGGCCTGGAAATCGTAAGTCAGGGACGAGGAGGAGAGCGGAGAGTGGGCGCTGAACAGGCCGAAGTCTCTCTGGTGGAAATGTTCCGTGGCTGCGGGGGGCGGCTGGGCAGGTGACCGCTCGCAGCTGAGTCCTGCATCTGAGCTGGAGTAATAAGAGGGGGAGCCCTCAGGGGAGGAGAGCAACTGATCCGCGCACTCGTGCACATCCATCAGGAAGTCCCGGCTGAGCTCCTCCTGCTGCAGAGGGGAATGGGAGGAGGCCGGGCTGTAAGGAGGCGTGAAGAGAGAGGGGCTTTCACCCAAGGGGGCGGCAGAGTTCCCGCTCTGGGAGGAGGTGCATAACACGCAGTAAATGTCTTGCTCAGACTCCCTTCTTGCTTTGGAAGCCGGCTCCTCACTCGGGCTACTGGACGTCCTCTGTCTCTTGGGGCATTTGGAGCCGTAGCTCTGACTTTGAGGAGCCTGTTGAGCGGGATGGGGGGAGTTTGGCACGGATGGCTTGAAGGCATGGCTGCTGATCTTCTCCTGCAGATACCTGGCCTCGGTTTCGCTGCACGGTCAGAGAAACGTGTCACATGTCAGCATTTTCACACCGAGAGGCTGACAGTTCAGGTTCGCCGAGGAGGCTCAACATACCCGATGATGAAGTTAGTGCAGCCGATGCTTTGGCTCTCTGACTCCTTGTTAGCTCGAATAAAGATCCAAGTCCATGACAGATCCATGCGCTGGAATCGCAGTACCATCTCCACCTGGAAGCCCTCGTCTGCCTGCACTGGAAAAATCACTTTTGCTTACAATGATGCGCAAACACACAAATGAAACTCCTAAAAGCCCCAAGGCAAGTCAAGAAATTGAAAAAGAAAATCCAACAACAAACTGGCATTCTGAGGTACTATTTTGATTGGCTCGTGTCTGCAGAGAAAGGCTGCTAAACCACAACTACAGCTCTTTAGGGATGATGAATGTAATTTATGCAGGCATCAGAGGCTAAGAATCTAAAAGTTGAAGTCCTCACCATGCTATGAATAAATAATAAGGGATTTAAGAGCAGTAAATGTCACAAAGTTTAATCCTTGGCCCAGAGCAGATTTTTTTTCACACTTACTTAAACTTCTATGAGAAGCTGCACCCTCTGACAGATCTTCAGGATGCAAAAGGCTGTACCACGATCGGCCGGCCATTTCATCTGCTGAATACCCCAAAAGGTATAAAACACTGAAAAAGGAAGACATCACATTCTCAGTAATTGGAATGAGAAAATTCTCTATCTGATCTTCCTTGGGGGTGTGTGTGCGCATTTACCTGTGCGAGAGCTGGGTAAAACTCATATCTGGTCTGTGGGTGCTGGTGAAGGCGAGGCAGAAGGGAGAGTCGGTGACGGTCAGACGGTTCACTGTGGGGGTACAGAGGGCAACGAAGAGAGGCTCGCCGTTCGGACAGGCTGCAGGAGACGGCTGAGGGAAGAACTGGAAGCTCCCTCTGATCAGCACAGAGCAGCAGCTGCCATGTTGCATTTTAAAGGCCTTGGAGGACTGCAGACTACATATAAAGCTCCTCTCTGAGGAAAGGAAAGAAATATAGATGAGTCTTCAGTGTTTTGAGAAAGCAATTCTTAAACACATCAGTGAATTGAGCGATTACACTATGATTTACAAGCTTGCGATCTTGTTGTATCTTGCCAATATGCATATTTCTCTCTCAGCTCTGAAGGAAAGCAGTTATACAAGAAGGCTGTATTGAACAAATTCAAGCTTTTAATCATACCTGATGATATGTTGTTTTCAATGTCCAGATTTGACTTCACAACTTCCACATCAGAGCCTTCGACCATGTCGTATATTGTGTCTCCCTGTAGCACATCTACCTGGAGAATTGATATGGTGTCCCATAAAAAGGTTACAATCCACAGGGCAGCAAACATGCTCAAATTAAGACTCCTGCTATCAAAATGAACACGGTGCTAAACCAAAACACTCACCATGGAAAGGCCGATATATTCGGGCACGTTTTCTGACACGTAGACCAGCCGGCCTCCTGCTGTGGTGACCAGGAGGAAGCCAGGCAGGGTGTCCAGAAAGTCCTCATAAGGCAGAAGGCAGCGCGACCGCTCTCCAGCCGAGGGCAGCCCTTGAGGATAAAAGCGAGACACGCCTTTGTTACACTGTTTTTCATCTTGGCAGGTTCACACATCTGCTGCTCATTATCCTTTTCCAAAAGGTACTGCGAACTTAGCTTAGCGTCGTCTGACAGTGGCACAGAAAAAGGATGTAGCAAAAAAAAATGCTGAATGGTACAAAGGACTGACGGTGAGTCAAGTGAGAAAAACTCACCCTGGAAGTGAACAGACTTCCTGATGTAGGTGCAGATGGCAGCCATGGAGTGAAGGTAAGAGAGGCGCTCCTGGTCCTCCTGGGTGATGGGAAGCAGAGCGCGCAAATTCTTGATCTCGTGATTGATGTGGTCTCGTCGGGCTTTGGAGGCTCCTTTGGTGGATCTGTGAGGGACCATGTTCACTGAGATCAAAAACGGGCTAAGCGCTGACTGAAGAAAATCTACTGCTGCGCCTGCTTTTTCAAAAATGTCCTCTCCAATCATCCTCCTCCAGGTGTCAAAGGTACAAAAAAAGAAATAAAGATAAAAATTAAAACAATCAAACGAAGACATCAAAAAGCATAATTGGAGTGAATTTTAACCAGCCTCTTCCCCACAAGCCAAGGCAAACTTTGAATATCAAGGGTTCCTATGGCAACGGCTGATACGTGAGGCTGTCTTGCCTGGAGCGGAGATGAGGGCTCTCGATGGACTTTGCCTGCGTGATCAGTGTCTCTCTAGGCCCATCCACTGAGAGCCTGGGGCTTTTATAGCCGCCAGTGCCTCGGCGTGGGCGTCCCACACAAAGAGGAGGCCGGGCCTCTGATGCTCCATCATTACCTTATACAGTGGGTGTCCTCTGTGTGGGGCACCGCACGTCACAGGGACTCACAAAGTGCCACAAAAGGACAATCATATCATTCTACACCCAAAACGTTAACTCTAAGGATCCTGATCTAAGATTCCCAAACTCCCATGAATAGGGACAGGGATACATAATCAAATTTCCACACTTTCTATAGCTTTTTTTCCACTTTCTATCCATTTCTTATTTGTTTAAAGAGACGGCTGGGTCAATGTGAATGGATTTGAGGGGCTTGTCTCGCATGCAGCAGTGACACATGGCACACAAAGCTGGCTGCTCCCCTTTCCCAGCGGCCATGTGCTGCTGGGGCCACTAGAGGACGCGGAACGGAGGGCAGGACGCGCGGCACTGACCTGAACCTCCTGCAGACGGAGCCGCGGTGCTCCGCGGGCAGATGGTGAGAGGTGCACGGTGCGCTGACGTGACATTTGCAGGAGTTGCACCAAACCGTCATTTTGACGCCGCTGTCGCCACCTGACGTAAAACACAGAGCAGTTTAGCGCCAGGAGGTGCGCGCACCCAGTCCACGCTTGGGTTTTGGTTTTTTCCCCCTTTCAAAAGCGTTAACTTTTCGAGAAAAAAGTGTTTTTAAAAATGATGAATGAACTCTGTGGGTAGCCTCCTCCATGTAAGGTCAAACCGTGGCGAAAGAGCTTGTCCTACCTTTGCAGACTCGGGTCCGGGTGATGTGTGGCGGGCGCTGGCGCGCGCCCCTCCTTTTATAGCCCCAAACCCGACACCTCTCATCCAACGCAGAGAAAGCTGTGTGAACGGGATTATGTTACTTGTTGTGACGCGATGACAAACTAGCGAGGCGGGTTATATTTAGATAAACGAGACCCAAAAATAACCTGTTGGAATAGACGCAAGAGCCGCTTCTTGTGTGTGATGCCAGTGTAATGTAAGAAATGTGCGTGGACAGTCTGATGTGTTCAGAGCTCAGACCTGCAGGTATGTTGGCCCCTGGTGAGTCTGAGAATAGAGGATTTTATCTAGAACTAAGAAAAAGCCACCATTTAAGAGCATATTCTTGATGGTTATGATTTATTATTGGATCATATTTAGCCACATCACCACTTTTAAAGGCGATTATCAAAGTATTCTCAACACTACAATGAAGCTCCTTGAATGTTAGAAAAAAAATATTGTCTCCTGTCATAAAGACAAACGTCCTCCACCTAAATATGTCCTTTTCTCAATGCAAAAAAAGTGATGCATCTATTATTGTTTAATCATTTTTAACAGAGGGGCCACTAAAGTTTGACTGTAGTTGATGAGATAACATTTTTGTGGTTAAAAAATATGAAATTTACTGTTAAATTATCTGAATTCCTGTATGAGTTTAACTTCTTCTCTAATGATGGGTTTGTATTCGTAATGAAACAAATTATTTAATCCAACTGTTCTAAGAAGTTTTTTTGGCAAAGAACAATCTGCCAAGTTTCTTCTGTCACTAGAGGTCTCACATCAAAAGGCACAGAGCAGTGTTCCCATCCCACCCACACAGTGGTTGAGATGGTAAAGATAAAGGCAGGGAAAAGAAACTGCTGAGGATTTGATGAACATGACTATACTATGAGTGGTCAGTTATTATTCTAAATAGATGGCAGCTTTAGCCCAGCTTCGCGTTTACGTAGTGATGTTTTTTCATTTGAGTTTCTTGCAGAAAAAGCCGCCTGCTGCATCACCGTCTCATCTCTGAGCAGACTAGTGAGGCAGGGAGTTATGGGAGTTTGTCTTCAAAAGGTTTTAATGCTGCGCGCATTAGTCACCCAATTAAACCCTTGCTGGAAGAAAATTAAGCTACATGTCTGCAATCATGACGCACTGAAGCTGAGACGCTCAGTCTCTCGCTCTAAATCTGTTCAGTCAACAGATGAATAGATTAAAGGTTTCTCAAAACATGACTACCAGAAACGTATCCTGAAGAGCTATAAATGTGAACATGATCTTTGCATAGAAACATGCTGATTGGAGTTTTGGCTGCTTCTTATAGAGCCACAACTTATTTTTCTGTTTTCTTTACGTTTAACCGAGGTATGTTTTAAGGCCTCCTGCGTCTTTTGTTGGATCCCTAAAATATGGACCTCCACGCTTGAAAACAAAGACCTAGAACTTGAGTGAAGGAACTGGACGGCGATATGGGCGGACAAGACAAAACAAATCACTCTGAACAAATCCTTAGTCTGATTCTCAAGTGCCATGGGATCATCTGAGTCCTGAGGGGAAATTAGAGTGTAATTTGGCTGAGTGTGTCCCTGCATTAGCGCCTGCAGTGCTGGTGGAGGCAGGCCCCTGGGCCAGACAGAGGGGGCCCGGCGCGGCCCCGCTTCCTGTGTGCGGTGGGACCAGGCGGGACAGCGTGTCTCTGCTGCCCCACTTTAAGCTGACCCTCCGTCTGTGGCCTGCACTTAACACTGCAGATAACGGGGGCTTTATAGCACGCGGCTGGTGACAGACGGGAGCAAACTGCCGGGACAGTACCGCCACTGGGGGTTCAGGGTTACACGTTTCAGAATGAAAGGACCCCCATCCAAAGCAGCCACACGCCGCTCGTTAGGTAGTCTGAGGGCCGGCGAGGGGATGGTGTGGCACCGTGACCACCCCACGCACCCACTGAGGCAGACGAGGAGGGCTATCAGACAGGCCGGCTGGGGACAGACGTTTCTGGCTCACAGCAGGAATCAGAAAACGCCATACCTGCAGGGTTCAAAGAGCTGGAACTGTTCACTTCCACATACAGTAAGTCTAAAGGGAGACTCCACAGCGACAGAGATGGAAAAACTGACATGTCTATCACTATTTGAAATATCTACAGCAGTGACATGAGACAATGAGTTAGGCTTTAGGGATTGTTTAGGATCAGTGTCACTTAATCATTTTGAATTGTTTTGTAATGAGGGATTTATAATTCAGTGGTATCCTGCGATGAGATGTTACAACCTCCACAGCAGAGTGAAGATTAGGGGCCTCAAATGAAAAGGTTCTGTTTTTCAAATTTCTCTCTTAGTAACGTATTTGTCTTCCCTTACCTCATCAGCAGCCATTTTCAAGCAGAGAAACTAGATTTAGTCACATTGAACTTAACTTTTTATTTTTTGCACACAGCTCCGTGCTTTTCCCTTGAGTGTGATAAAGAGACTGTCTCACAGTTTCTCGGAATAAGAGAGCACAGTTAAAAGAATGAGTTGAAAGAACTACACCTGGCTCCTCATTTCCTGACAGAGATAGAAGTGCTTGTAGCTTAGTGTGCCGTACATAACACCAGCTTCAATATATTTCAGCACATTTCCCAGTACAGAACAGCTTGAGTTCTGGGTTATTTGCTAACCCAAAATTTGTCTGTAACAGTTTTACGCGATTCAGGTCAGGACTTTTGACTTTCTCTTTTGCAGAGATGATGCTTTATTGTGCCACGACACACGTCCACAAACTGATTAGATCCCCAATGCAAACTCATGCTCACTCAGGACTGATGGTTCGAGCTCAAATGTCCACTTTTCAGCCCTTGAATTTTGGGAGTGAGGAGTTTGTGAGAGTTGGGCTTGTTAGTTGAGTCTTGGCCATCGATTTGCCTTTACAACCTTAACTGAACATGACAAATAACAAATGAGCTTTAAATCGAGAATTTAAAGAAACGTATTCAACTCAGAAAGATTTATTGTCGGTACAGTTGTTAAGCATATTGCACAGGAAGTCCTGACCAAGCTTATGAGACCAAATCCCCTTTAAAAACAAGTCAAATGATATGAAAACAAGAATCTGGAGCCTGCACAGTTGTCAAAGGAACAGGAACCCATGCTTTGTTCTTCTTAGGCCCTTTATTGACAGAGGACAGTTGAATTTTTTCAACTCTGTGCAGTTAGGACGAAGCGGCATGTACTTAACAGTCCCGACTTTCTGGATTGCTTTCTTGGATGTCGCAGGAAGAACCTGTAATCTCATATGTGTGTGTGTGTATATATATGTGTGTGTGTGTCTATTATCGAAATCATAAAGTCTCCTGAAAAAGTTGAATGTTGAATATCAATAAAGTCTTTAAAAACTGCATTTTTTGGAGGGGGGTTATATCACTGAATGGCATCATTAAAAGTGTAAAGTCTGCACGTTTACACTTTCTCTGCATTGTGAGTGCCCATCACTGAGGGAACTTGTTTTTGTGTTTTTTTTTCTTTTGTTTACATATTTATTAATTATTAGTTATTTATTAATATGAACTTCTTACAACACACAAAAAATGTCATCATTCATATTTTTCAAGCATAACACCAGGAGCAGAATCCTTAAATAAAAAAAAAAGACCTCCACACCACACATTGGAAAAAAAACCAAAAAAAACATTTTCCTACCCGATCGGTGTCGTATAAACGGTTTGCTTTGTTCTTCAGTCCTTCCCCAGCCCTAACCCTGTCACTACACAGTCCCCTTACCTGTCATTTCACTGCATTAGCCTTTGTTTCGTCATCTGAGGAAGCTCAGATGGATCAAGTGTCCATGTGCTTGCGGGGCAGAGGGTGTGAGCCTCGCGGGGTCACATTGGCACTGCTGGTCAGGAAATAAAATTCAGACTTGGTTCGTCTCCAATGGGCAAAAAAGCAGCAGCATCGACATGTCTCTTTTCCGTAAGGCCCGACACGCCACAGTTGGCTATAGTGCATTTATCTGGTCACCCCCAATCTGCAAAAAGACACCCCCCCCCCTTGTTTTGTAAACATTTATGATCAAAGTCAGCTGTTAAATCCTGATGTTTGGGACCTGGAGCCCTGCTGATTAGAAATCAAACCAGCTAAAAAGATACAGAACTATCTGGCAGCTCAGAGAATAAAACAATACTTGGTCCTAAAGAGCAGGATTTCAAATCGGTTATGCACCTTTCTTTTTCTATTTTAATTTTTCCAGGAGCTGCATTCTGTACCACTCGGGATCAGATAAAACTAAAAGTCCATGTGACAATCTCAAAAAGGCAGCTCTCTGCATGTGACTCCTCAGTAAGTCATTCATGGTAAAAATACTGTACGTTTACAGGCCACTAAGATGAAAAGCAAGAGTTTCTGTCTTGAGCACTCTCTGCGACCCAAATGTGACATACTTGAGCTATCAAAACAAGTTAGAGACACAAGCACAAACTCTGTCCTGTTGCCATACCTACACGTGCGCACGCAATCCTCGACTGAGTCAGAAAGCACAAACTCCCCGTTCAGTCCAGCTGGTTGTTGGCCTTCAATCTGAATAAAGCTGGGGCTGACGGCCACACACGGGTTACAGGAAAGGGTCGAGAGACGGCCTCACACAGGGTCCACTTCGGTCTTTTTGTTGATGACAGCAAAAAGATTGACCGGGACTGCACCTTTAACTTGAAAAAGCATGAGCCGTGTAGAGGCTTTTTAGAGCTGCCTTCAAACTTTTTGCCCGTGTTCACCTCATGAGCACCCTTCCTTTGTTTGTCTCTGCACTGTGGAAGGACCAGTTGGGAGGGCTCTGTGAAAGCCAAAGGATTGTCTCTAAAAAGGAACTATGTGCATATCAGTGACGAGGCAAAGTGGAGCAGACGGGCATGGACTGTGTGTGGGTTTAGCGACCTGCTAGCGCACACACAAACACACGCACACACATTTATATTTGCATCAAAACTCCCTTCTGCATTTGGCACTGAAAAACAAACTTGATGGGTTGAGGATTGATCCAGCAAGCGAGTCGCTGTCTTCTTTGCAGCATTTTAGAGACAACAAAAAAAAAAAAACATTGCTGTGA